GTTACTCTACTTTCATTGACAGTCAGCTTTGTCCACTTATTTTTCATTAGCATATTTCAACTACTATAACTTGAGAACTACAACACAGCATGGACTTTATGTCAACTATTAAGAGCATCTAAGAAATCCTTTATCAGTCAAATATGGATTAGAAGAGGGTCCTAGTGGAGCTGAGAACATTCGACTAACTGGGAACCCTTATCTGACTGAGAAGAGATCCTAAGAGGATCTCATTTTGTTTTCAAGTGTTGATATTGTGCTCAGATCATGGTGAAATAAAGATGCCACACAGCACTTATATTATCATCATATGGCTAACTCAAGGGTTTAAAAAGCATCATTCTGACCTTATTCATAACCCAATATATGGCAACAGGGATTATGCAGGATGAGAACTCAAAATTTCACTATTCCCTTCCTCTTCACATGCCACATTTACATGCCAATGTCTGGAAGCAGCAATTGATAGGAAAGACAGGTAGTTTCATAAATAAACTAAATCAAATAGGCTTCCATACATTATAGAAAGGGCAAAGGTCAGGGGATTCAGGGCAGCTGTCCTAATTTATCTATGTCATAAGGCTGATTTCACAAGAGAACAAGAGATCAATTCATAGAATATAAGGGATAAAAGCCTTTCACCTCCAGGTCACCAGTTCAAATCCACCTACATCAATAGTGACTGAAGGTTGTTACCATCAGAAAAGTCTTCAGCTTCTATATGAAATGGGTTTGGATGAATCTGTCCACAACCTAGCAGACAAGTATACCCAGTTGTCAGTTAGTTAAAGTAGAGAGGCAAAGGACTGACAGAGCATGAAGACTGACCTGTCTTCTTACTGTACAATTACTGACTCTCTGGGTCAGGATTGAGGCTCATTAGTAGGACAGTTTGGAAAAGTTTGTTTGCACTGACCCTTACTATGCTGCCCCTGGTTAAATAGAGCAGTGGTTCCCAAACCTTTTAATAAGGTGACCCACCAACTGCATTTTGTCTTTTTTTCTGCGACCCACCATTACATGTATGCACACTCTACCCCAGCACCGCGAACCTAATGCCGGTCCAGTGTGGAGGGGCTTTCAGTTCAATTTCGTCTGAAGCCATGTTTGTTTTTATAAGACCAGGCAAGACTGCTCAGTCCTGCTTGTTATTATAATGAGCTTGGGATACACCCTGTGCATTTCATCCAACAATAGTAGTAACAATACAATACTTCACAATGGAACCTTTCATCTACAACCAGGTTTACAAACAATATGCAAATTAATCTTTTTTGCTATATTATTCTGTCCCCAGCCAGTGACTAAAATAAATGCACTTCTTACTCCTAGCAATGGAAGTGGGGATGATCTGTGCAGCTGTTTTCTGTCTCTGGGAGGAAGATGGTAGGAGACACTAGCAGCATTATTTGTCCTCACAGTCCCACTTCAAAGCATGAAAAGTAGGGGAAATAAACAGATAAACCTTTGGGGGGGGGATGTATTAGCTGCATCTGTTGGGGAAACAATGACCCCAATCACAACACTGCCTTTTCCATCAGTTTCTAGCAGATCTCCAGGCACGAGGAAAAGGCTTCTTATTGGCAAAATACTGAGTTCCTTGCAGGGCTGTGAGGCAAGGAATCTAATTCTGATTAATAAAGATAAGCTGGTGCAATGGAGCTTCTCAGGGTACGAATTAAGGCTCCTGTGCTATTACACACAAATGGTTGTGCTTGAAGCAGACATCCACACGTTTCCAAGAAGGGGGCCTTTCCAGTGGAATATTATGTGGAATATGAATGGCACATGAATCACAGGAACAGCTATCTAGGAGAGTAATACAACCTTTTACCATAATCAATAAACTAACCTTATACATGCCCCAGAGACATGTCAACAGCCTGTCATGGAGACAAGACTAGGAGTCAAAAGATAACGTCAGGAAACTATGAGACGCTCCTCAGGTGTATTTTCCTTCTGAGCCTACAAATGCCCCACAGGCATATCCACAAACTGATATGGAGCCAGCTCAAGAATAGCCTGGAAACCACTAAGACATTTCTTGGGTGTGTTTTCCTTCTGAATAATCTACAATAGTGAACAATACCCTCCCCCTTTACACAAACATCACTGACCCAGGAAAGAAAATGAGGTGTCTCATGGGTTACAAACATTGCACTTCATCCTGTAAGGTGCTCAGCACCTCCTGGAAAGCGCCAGATGTCTTCAGCTCCAATAGACTCTCAGTAAGTACTCAGCATTTTGGAAAATGGAGCCTGTTACCTCTACAGTTACTAAATATTTTGGGGCACCAGTTTCATTTTTGTTTACAAATACACATACCCACGGCTTTGCAAAGGAAAATGGTCTCAAACCCAGACTTTCAGGAATAATTAATCTGTTCCCTTCTTTCAGAGCCATCAAATAAAAAGAGGGGGTTGATCACTTGATGATTACCTGTTCTGTTCATTCCCTCTGAAGCACCTGTCTTTGCCCACTGTCAGAAGACAGGATACTGGACTAGACGGACCATTGGTCTGACCCAGTATGGCTGTTCTTATGTTCCTATGTTCTTATGTTCCTTTCTATAAAGTCCTTTGCAGTTATCAGCTTGAATTTAGTGCAAGACAAAGTGGTTACCATGTTAGTCCAGCAAACAATAAACTGAAGACAAACTCAGTTGTCAAAGACAATACCTTTCATTTGTAAATAAAACTGTTTGGCTTGTGAGACTGTGTGCCTGATTCTAATTTCACTTACCCTGGTATAATTCCATTGGCTGCAACAGAGTTAATCCTGGTTTACACCAACATACATGGGTATGTTTACACAGCAGCTGTGAGCAAGCCTAGATATACTCTTGCTAGCAGAACCCGAGCTAGCATGCTAAAAATAGCAGTGTGGACATTGCAGTTTGGGCTGGAGCGTGGGCTCTCAAGTCCACCTGATCCCCTACGCTTGAGAGCCCAAACTGCAGCCCAAGACAAGCTCGAGTCCTGATAGACAGGCTGTCTACCCAGACTGGGAGGCTTGCTCCCAGCTGCAATGAAGACATAGCTAGTGAGAACAGAACCAAACAATCTTTATTTACCTAAACATGGTTAGTGTACTGTTGTACCACCACCATGCTACCCTGATGACAATAAACTGCACCCTATTCTTTATCAGATTATAGGACTCAGGAGTGTTCCTTTGTTTGCAATTTCTGTGGCCTGAATCAGGATGTTAAATATGTAGCTTCTTTTTGGTTGAAGTTTATTCCAGACTTTCCAGGGTTAATTCTACAGCTTTGCTAAAATGTTTCACAAAAGCAAAGTGTTTGCTTCATTGGTTTTCATGTGTGATAAAATTATCAAAAATGTTAAGCATATAAATAGCTTACAGGCAACTAATATAGCATCGAATGTGCAAACTGAGGACACAAGTAGCACAAAAAATAGTGAGTTATTATCAAATGCTCCTTATTGTCCTTTTCTGTTCTTGTTTAGCATGCAATTAACAAATATACTACTTCCTCTGTGCTTACAGCCTAGGGAATTTAAGTTGTTAATAGTGCTAGCAGTGAATGAATTGAGTGGTACAACATTCCTGTCTGTATCTTTAAAATGACAACACTTGGCTGATTTACAACCCCCTTAATTCCTTTACAATCACTGGTCAATTTTATTGTGGCTAATCCAAGTCAGGAAGATCCCATGCCGAAAGACATTACTGTACATGGAGTTACATTATGCACCTTCACACTATGCTGTTATCCCAAATGCCTTTCAATCTTATTCAAATTGAGATAGCAACCGAGTTCACATCGGAACCTTTGGCGTCGGTAAAAGTGAAATTGCGAGGATCATTTCTTGATCATCAAAAAGGCTAACAAACCCAGTGACAACTTTCTTTCTTTTGTTCTTTTAATAATTAAAGCTCAGTGTTGGACAGAAGAGGCACAACAATTTTTGATAAAATGCTACATGTCAAACTTGAAAAGCGTGACCAAAAAAACCCATTTTCTTGTAGATTTAAATATCACTGCACCTAATTACACAAACTACTTCAGTTTTTATCGTGTTCATAATTAGCTCATTCATCCATATGATTTCAGATGTTAGAGGCTTTTCAATACTACTGTCAACAGTAATACTGGGCCTGAGCCAAAAGAAAGACTCTCATTGACTTAAATGGGCTTTGAATCAGGCCCATAACTTATCGGAAGGGCTGTGACCACTACCAACCAGATACCAGAACCTAATTACAGTTCAGGGGCCAAACACCTACATTGATGAATAACAAAATTCCTGTGTTTTCCCCACTATCCTTGGCATTAAATATTTTCTATTTTAAGACCAAAGACAGACACACAATATTGTCTGCTTATGTGTCAAATCAAAACTTTGACTTGTAACTCTTATTTTTATGTATACATACATACTTCAGTAGCATCCAAAGTCCCCAGCTGGGAGCAGCAGAGCCCTGTTGTGCTAGGGACCGTCCAAATACATTGGAAGACTTGATTCCTGCCCAAAAGGGATCACAATCTAAAAAAGGGTTATGAATTTCTGTGGCCCAAACGACCAATAGCAACTGCACTGCAGAATCTTATGATTCATTCCAGGTATCTGCCACAATGGTTCACTAAGAGTAACTGCATCTGAGAAGGGCAGTGGTACATATCGGTGTTTAGAAAGGTAACAGACAGACAGCAGTGCAGAAATAGCTCAGTTACTGAAGGTGTAGTTCAGGCAACCGTAATTCAAACTGACCTGACAATGACTTTAACCTTCAGCTGGAGGCACAGCATTCTCTCAGGATAAAAGGAGATGCAGCATTTGTATTGGAGTGGCTCACACTGTACTCTTTCCAGTGCAAACACAGCCAGCTCTAAAAGGTTATCTTGCTGTGAGCAATCAGGGAGGACTATTGTCTACAAGTGATGGAAATAAGATCTACCATATTCACTTTGCAACAAGAGTAGATATGACTGTAGTCCAAAACAGCATCCACTTAGTGTGAGCAAGGGCACTTACCTAACAGGGCATTACGCCCATTGTCATCTGGCAAGAATCTTTTATCTACGGCACACACTAAAAGGTGATCAGGCAGATTTGGCGATTTAGCACCAACAAGTAAAAAACCCGAAGGCACCTCAATTTGATCATTGGAAATGGATACCAGCCTCAAGTCTTTACCAGCCTGGCAGAAACCTAGAAAAAACAAATGCAACACGTTTCTGAGGTCAAAGGTCATTTTGCTTAATTCTTCACAATTTCCTTATTGAACAAACTCCAACTTTTCTTTTTATTTAAAAAACATGTTAACCTAATGTCAAGTTTAACTTCAGTGTCAATATTTTTCCGGCTACTTGGCGAGCTATAAACGAATGCTAGAAATACAATGAATAAATAAAAATTGGGAAATGTAAAAATAAAGTTTTCTGCAGCAACAGAAACACATCTATGTTGCACAACATATACATTTTATGGAACTGTATACATTTAACAATATAAACAAGATTATATTAAGCTGTATGTTTAACAAGAGACAATAGCACTTGGTGTCTGGGCAGTTTTACAGTTTTGATACAGTCTTTTCCCTCTTGTTTGTGTGGGTCTTTCTCCCAGCCACAGGAGAGGGCAGAAAATTTTTGTTTTAAATAGGAAAATATGGTGATAAAACCACAAAAGTTGGCAGAGCACTCAGCAGCAGGTGTAATATCTGAAACTACTTTAAACTCGAGTTTTTTTAAAACTGGATAGATTTCAAGTTGCTGGCTAGTCCCCTCCTTCATCCTGACATAGAAGTGCTCCTTTGAACGATTCAGCAAAGACACACGTATGATCAACCAAGTTTCTAGTTTTGTCTAAGAGGTAACAAACTGTGATAGCCCCACAATTTCTATATACCTAATTTTGATGAGCCACTTGGAAGGTGCTTGTTATGATGTTTGGAATCAATCCTGCACTCTTTACTGGGACCCCAGTTCCCACTGATACCAATGGGAGCTGTGCCTGAATAGACCATTGGATCAGTTGCCAAACTTTGAGTCTTGTGAATTTCTTACCATCAGTAGTGCAGCAGCCTTCAGGAGGAGGTTTCATCTGATAAGAGAGAGGAGGGCTACTTGATTCTGAACTTTCTTCTTCCTCCTCCTCCTCTTCTTCCTCATTATCCACTCTGCTGCCTGCTACAAAAGTACCACAGGAAAAAATTACATTTAGACAATAGATAGCTGTGGCAATAGCTGATCCTGGGAATGAGCAGTGTCCCAGTTACAGCAAGCGCTATAGAAAAGTAAGATTCCCTTGTTTTTGCAAGGAACTGTGGTGTTGCCAAGTCTCACAATGTTTGGTGTTTTTCTTAAAGCTCCAGGTCCTGGAACCCTGTGATCATGTGAGAATTTCAACTTTCATTTAAAAGAAAAAAAAGGTTCGGCAATTGTGATTGTGAAGAAAAGCTTTGAAATGTGACCTGAGTGCACTTAAATCTCAGAAAACAGAAGGCAAATAGAAACAAACCCCCAAATTTTTATTTTTAAAATCTTATGATTTTGAAGTCAGACTCATGATTTTGGGGGGGCTGACTCACGACATTTGAACCCAGGGAGTTGCCAATAATAGAACTCTGTCCTCATAAAAGCCCCCTTGACCTTTGTTTTCGATATTTACAATGTCTAATCACTTTGAGATGCTCTCACAAAGCAAAAGATCAAATGCAGATTATCAATAGTTAAGTGCTGACTATATACTTGATGCTGTACCCGAAACAGAACAAAAAATAGTCCCCTGCCCCAAAGATCTTAAATTGATGGACAATACAAAACCCACTGGGATGGGGAAGGTGTGTCTGTTCCAAAGCTCAAAGTCAATGGGAGTCATTCCACTGGTTTCAGTGGACTTTTGGATGAGGCCCTGGAAATCCCATGGGCGGGGTCAGCCACAGAGGAGTTTTCTCTGTGACCCTCCTCCCCCACTTTGTCCCCTCCTTAATTAAGGGCTCCAGGGTTAGCATTTGTGAGTTTTGCAGAATAAGTGAGTTTTAATGAGGGATCTGAAAGAGGAGAGGTTGGGTGTTGGAAGCTTGACCCTGAAAGGTGCCAAGCACTCTGGCCTCAAGACAGCAAAATATTTAAGTATATGCTTACCTTTACTCACATGAGTAGCAAGATTGATCCCCTGGTGAACAGGGATAAAGGCAGAGTGGTACGCACAGGGAATAACATGGGAGAAGGCACAAAGACAAGAGGTAAAGAGGGGACAAAGGGAGAAGTGAAGCAGCCTTTGTCACTGGAATGCAGAGACGGGAGTAACAAAACGCGGGAGCAGAGATTTAGGCAGGGGAGAGCTGTGCAGGCTTTCAGATTAAGAATGAAAGGAATCCAAAAGCAAACGTGCAGCTATACGACATGAGTGACAGCTCCATTTTGCACTAACAGGCATAGTTCAGGGGTTTGGTCTTTATTTTCAAGCATATTGCAAATCATGGTTATGAGTCAAAATCCGATTTTAAATCTGAGTGTAAAAAAACGGCTTCCCACATTAAGCCCCATGTTTATGTGGATGAGATCTTAAGGTATGTCTACACTACAAAGAAAAACCCGCAGCAATGTGTCTCAGAGCCCGGCTCAATTGACTTGGGCTTCTGGGGCTTGGGCTGCAGGGCTAAAAATAGCAGTGTCGGCATTTGGGCTCAGGCTGAAGCCCTGGCTCTGAGACCCGTCCCACTTGCCAGGTCTCAGAGCCAGGACTCCAACCTGAGCCCAAATGCCTACACTGCTATTTTTAGCCCCGCAGCCCAAACCCCAGAAGCCAGAGTCAGTTCATCTGAGACTGGGAGCCGTGGATCTTTTGTTGCAGTGTAGACATCCCCCGCACAGAGCACAGGAGACTAATGGTCTACCCTCACACACAGCTGTCAGCATGATAAAAAACTGTACATTTTGAGTATCTGCAGTCTATACAATATAATTCCATTTTTTTTTTAAAATAGTCTACAGAAGGTGAAAGTTGCACAATGAAGCACTTGTAAATTAGGAAACAACAATGTTACAAATGGACTCAACGTTAGCTCTACCCCTTGTGTGTTACAGGGCCAGATCTTTGGCTGATGTAAATTAGCATAGCTCCATTAAGTCAACAGAGCTATACTGATTGACACCAGCTGAATTACATGATCAGATAATATTTCACAGCTAGTGCAATGTATCAGACCGTTATTGCTACCATCTTTATAGAATTATTTCTACAGCCTCATTGCATTTTTCAGTCTTTTCTGCTTACATTATTTTCAGTCGTGATCAAGTGCATCTTTATTGATTGAAATTTTACATGATAGGTTCTCCTCTTGCTAAGTATTCTTTTAAAAACTAATCTAAGCCCCAATCCTGCAAACACTTAAATATGTGTGTAATTTTACTCAATGGGACTATACTCACATGAGTAATGTAATGTATGTGTGCAAGTCATTGGGATGAAGGCTTAAATCAATAGCCATAACACTTATTTTCAACCAGCAACAGAGACTTCCTTAGGTGCAAATCAGGGGATGAGCCAGTTAACTGCAAAGATAATTTAGCTGCAAACCTAGATCTAGGCTGTGATACCCTTATTAATGTTGAATAGCACCTTACTCCACAAACAGTCCCACTGAAGCTGAGTGGGGTACTAGTCAATATGAGCAAGGGCATCATACTCCTGACCCCCCTTGGATGGTCTGTATATGCCAATTAATTTTACTATTACTATGTTACTGCACTTAAATCCCAGTCCTACTCCCATTGAGATCAACTGCCATTGATGTCGATGTGCAGAATTCAGAAGCTAACATGTCATATGATCAGTGGTGCAAGTGGAATCCATTTTTTACTGGTTCGCAAACCCCCCCCCCACACACAGGAGGGCACGTGACCTCCTCACGTGACTCCTCCCAGCCCGGGGCCCCCACGCTCTCCCCATGATCCACCCCCCTTACCTGAGGAGAGAGCCCATAGTTCTTTATGGAGTTTTAGTTGTTTTTAAAGAAGAAATGACTAAAAATACATTTTGTAATGTGGGACCACTTGATTAGACACTGCTGAAAAGCCTTAACCCACCCACCTTACAGGGGCTGTCTGCTGGGGCCCTTCTCCTGCACACCTTAAGTAAGCTGCAGGCACAAGACCCTCTCCTGTGCACCTTAGGAACTATGTGGATTTTGCCTTATGAGACACACAGTACCCTAGACGTCTCCAGTAAGAGGCAGCAAAAGCTCTCATGCCAGTTGAGCCACCTCAAGGTGAGGCCACATGTCCCCACGTCCATAGACAGAAGGCATTAATGAGAAAGGAAAAGTTCACATTATAAGATCGTCCCCACCAATCTCAAAATGGAAAAAAATATACAGGGCTAGATCATCAGCTGGTGGAAAATGGCACAACTCCGCTGCCTTCAATGGGCCCATACAGATTTACACCTGCAGAGAATCTGGCCCCCAATCTTTTAAGATGCAACAGGGAAGCATGTCCATACTGTAACAGACACAGACTAGCTACAGCTCAAAAATGCCCCCAATAGTCAGGGCAGAGACTACAAGAAATCTAAACTAGCACCAGCCAAACACCCTCCACATCTACTACACCCATCAAACCATCCTAGGAAGTGCCTGTATGTCACTCTACTAAACATCTGGAGGAGGGTTCTCCAAGCTCCAAAACCCACGAAAAGAAGAAGACTTTAAAAGCTAGTCATTAGAAAGGCAAGATTAAAGGTGAGAGGTCACATCAGACTCTCTAGGCTTTTAGACAATCCAGCAAACTGGAAGCAGGATCATTTAAAGAGAATCAGTATTTAAAGAATATTTTCAAGCAGTTTCAAAAGCTGAATGAGCCAATACAGGAGAAGAGAGAGAATGCATCACTACATGGGCAAAGATAAAAAAGAGTGACAAACAGTGTTGATGGAACCCATGGAGCTTTTAGTTTATTTAATATATAGTCCTCAAAATGATTATGGATATGATGATTAATGGACGCAAACAGATCTATATAAAACAGTAACAGCAGCAAACAAGACAATAGTTGTCTAGAGATGTCTAAACAAAGTTTTAGGATACAGAAAAAAATGTTTTAAAAGCAATCGTTTTGTTGAATAATATAGTATTGTAATAGTAACAAGGGGTTATCCCTTGCTCTATCTTGTGTTATCAAAATGATATGCAAAAACTGGAGTTAAAAATGTTGTAATTTAGACATAGTGACATTTGAAAAAATAGCTTAAAAATCTACAGGCTGAAAAGAGACCTTAATTTCAGCTGGTTTACTTTGTGCATATTTGGCACAGACTTTTAAGTTCAGAAGGGACCATTATGATCATTCAGTTTGATTTCCCACATAACACAGGCTATAATCTGTTTCACATTTATAGGATTTAAATTGTAATATATAATCATAAATTGTAATAACACTAGTCTAGTTTTACTGCGTAGGCACTTTGCCCTATTATTTGTGAAGGTCTTTCACACAGCAACAGGGGAGAGAAAAACATTTATTTTAAATAGGAAAATGATTATATGAACCACAAAAATCGGTAGGTGGGAATTAGGGGTAGGGGTAGAACCTGAAACTACTTTCAACTCATTTATTTTTAAATTAACAATATTTCAAGTTCACAGTGTCCCTTTTAAATTAACAATTTTAAAATTAGAACAACAACAGCAGGAACAAAAAACCTGACTGATGTCATAGTGGTTGGTTTTGCTGCCAAGTGGTATGGTGAACAGGGCAAACTAACACCAAAAAAATGCAGTGTGAGCTGCAAGATCACTTCAGAAAAGCACTCTCTTCAAATATGGCAAGAAGCTATAGCAACTTGTGATGCCATTAGTGCCTAACAGGATACCAGAGTCATTCTGCTTAGAGACAATTCTGCATCTGTATTTTTGTCATTTTGTGCCTATACGACTTAGCTGGCAGTGCAGAGAATGTTAAATCAGAACTCCTGGACTCTATTCCTTGCTCTGCCACTCACTGTATTACCTTGGGTGAATCACTTAACCCATGGTTCCCTCCATGCTTGTATAATGGCGACAGACCCCGGTCATCAGCAGGCAGGATCGAACCTGGGACCTTTGAAGCTTAGTGTATGAGCCTCTACTGCAGTGGTCCCCAAACTTTTCTTTCACGCCCCCCCCCTTACCATTAATAGACTGTGCCTGTGCCCCCCTCCACAGGCCGGGAGCAGAGCCACAGCTGGGGCCAGGAGTCGAGCCGTGGCTGGGAGTGGGTCCCGGGGACCAAGACCGGGGGCCGATGGCTGGAAGCAGGGACACGGCTGGGCCGGGGGCCGAGCAGGGGCCACACCTGCAGCCAGGGGCTGGGGCCAGGCTGGAACGGAGCTGGGGGCAGAGTGGGGCTGGGTGGTGCTCCCTCCCCACCCCTGAGTGGGGACTTGCCCAGGCCCCGTCACGTCCCCCCCCCCGGACATTCCTCCATGTCCCCCTAGGGGGGTGTGCCCCATAGTTTGGGAGCCACTGCTCTACTGCATGAGCTAAAAGTCACATGGCACTTAACCAAGTGACTCATCAATCTCTAGATGGTCTAGGTGCCACAAGAGGGGGACAGAGCCCCACACCAAGTAGGCATGGGTTACACTTTGAAAACACTGTATTGGGGCAGGAAATGCTAGGACCACAAATAAAATGCACCACAACAGACCCACTGTGTCAAGGAGTCAGGGAATAGGGAGGATACAGATAGTTGGGGGACCAAGAGCTGGTGTCGTGGCACAGTGCCTCCACAAGGATGGCCCATTGCTTCAAGGTTATTGCCCTCCACCCCTCAGATCTTAGCGCTTCATGGTTCCTAGAGGAGGAAACTCCTGTTTGTTCTGGGGGGGCTGGAGTTGGATGTAAGATGTGAGATTGCAACCTCAACCATCTTATGCAACAACCCAGGAAAAGCTCTATTAGGCAATCCATAAAGAGTTTCCACCCTCTGATATTTGCATGAAAGGGAATGCTTTAGGCAAAGATTTGTGAGGTTTAATTAATTGAGGCCTGATTCTCTTCACATTGACTGCAAAAAAAACCCAAAAACGGATCAGGCTAGGAAGGTCTGTAAAGCCCTTTGAGACCCTTAAATGAAAGGAGCTACAGAAGTGTGAAAACTGCACCTTTGTCCCGGAACTATGCATCTGCTCTTGCAGCATCTTTCCCAGCTGATGTCATAATCCACTTTGTGACATAAGAGTTAGTTGCCATGGAAACATTTATGAAATTCCCAATAGAGGATAAGCACTTCATGTGGGGAATAAGCAGCAGGAGCAGATGGACACTCAGAGATTATGTTTTCATGCAAATGTCCTTAGCTAGCAGTAAAGAATGGAGGGAGAAAATTAAACGTGTATGAGATATAAGCAGATCTGTTTCTAAATAGAATGTTTTTTCAATATTTTCAGTGAGATATTGGCAAGTGTTTAATCTTTTCAAAATGATTTCATTTGTTTTCAGTGGCTGGATTGATATTTTTTTAGAATGCTTATTTCATTACAGACTATATTATACCTTACACATTTTGCATTCCATATGTGCCTACATCATCTTTTGCAGGCTACAAAAGAACACACACACAGAGGAAACAAATGCAACATTACTCCAGTAGTTAGTTGAGAGAGAGAGGAAATATGTGCACCAACAGGATAATGTTGCCTGCACATTGTCAGACCCACTGAGAACAACACAATTTAGCACCTAAGTAGACTTGATGTTATGTATTAGCACTTGTTTTTCTAATTAATTTGGTTGTCAGATCTACACATTTCATCTAAACTATTCCACCTCCAGAGAGAAAAATGAATGAGTACAAGAAACAGACAAGGTAGGTGAAGTAATATTTTTTATTGGACCACAGACCTCTGGGTAGCTTGAAAGCTTGTCTCTTTCCCCATGAGAACTTGGTCCAATAAAAGATATTACCTTACCCACTTTGTTTCTCTAATATCCTGGGACCATCACAGGTACAACAACATTGCAAACAGAAGTAGAAGAGACACCAACAAAGCAGCTCAGCAAATATATAAATAAATCAAAGAAATCCAAGACACTAAACATCAGTCCAGAGGCCATGAGCAGGATTTACCATAGAACACGAGGTAACAGCTTAAGCCAATATCTTGAAAAATGGAGATCAAGTTAAAAACACTGTCACGCCAAAATTAATCATAAAATCTTCTTAGCATACTTAATAGGAAGGCTGCAAATATTTTTGCTTCTTTCATTCATAATCAAAATTATTTTTAGCATCTCTCATTTGTAAATCTGTTGTATTTTTGCAACTGTCTAACATGGTAGAATTTTCTATTCTATAAAGCAAACTACCAGATAAAGCTCTGCTCCTCCAAAGATTTCTGCTGTGTTTAGTGGGTGAACTCATAGTGCTTCCAGTTATGTATGTCCATAAGTGTTTGCAAAATAGAGCCTTACTTTGTAAAAACAAAGAGCATTCCATAATTATTCTCTTCAAATAGTTCTTTTTTCAAATTTGCATTAGATCTGGGGGGAGGAGGAGGTTGCACAGAACATAAAGCACCCAAACAACTTCAAATACTTTTGCATCTCTCTATATTTAATTTGAAAGTTTCATGCTGATCACAGGATGAACAAGGAATGGATTCATAGTTCTATTTGAACAGAAATATAAATGCCAAGATTTCCTACCTTCTAGTGATGAAAGTTGCTGCTCGGCTTCCAAATACAGCTGAGAAAAGATTGGTCTCGGGACTAAGTTGTTTGAGCGGAGAGAGGCCTCAATAGAATTATGCAATACTTCTTCGAATCTGGTTGTCTTGAGCTGCCCGGCGTAAGAATTTCCCATCTTCTTATTCAAAAAAAGAAGAAATAAACCACGTTTCAATTTTAGTTCACAGAGCTAGGAGATCACATTGTGTGGAAGCCAAACCACAACATTTCTCATGAAAGAGGAGCACTGCATTGTCTACACTGAAAGGCGGAAAAAAAGAAAACTGACAGCAGCAGCCACTAAACAGATCCTGCTGCTAAATTACAGGAAGTTATCTAAGTAACAGCATTCTGTAATTCAACAGAAAGGCAGCAAGGTCTGACACCTTTTTGAAGATGTTGCTAGAAATCTGATTCTAGTAATTCCCTACTTTAACAAACTACGGCAATTCAGGAGATGCATTTGCAATAGTCAGTATTCTTATCTGTCAAACAATCTTTGTGTTTTCCGTATCTCAAACAGAATATACTTTAAAGGGTCTTGTGGATAACAGTTATGTATATGTGTATTGACAAATCAATGGCCCATCATAACACATGCCTAACATTCATGGTTAGAGCAGTTTAACTATTCTTTTAGAAGTGTTTTCTCCAAGCAAAATAGTGTTGCCTATAACTAAAATCCATTTTAAAAGGATGGCTGAAAGTATCGCTGGCATCTTTCCCCCACTAATTGGAGATTTATGAATACATTGAGACAATATATTTCCTTCTAAACAAGCACAAGTGTTTTTAGAACAAGAGTCAGATAAGTTATCAATTTGATTCAGTATTTCATTGCATTTATTATTAGTAAAACCACATGATTTGTTCATTTTGGAGTTTACTGAACCATAATAGTCTAATCCAGTAGAATATTCTAGTAGTTTACTTTCCACATACTCACTTACTGCCTGCTTTCCACTGTGAACACAATGAATTGGTCTAACGCAAAGCCATGTCAGCTTTTTTTTTTCTACTACAAAGTAGCTCTTGCCCTGGGCCCCACGAACTTTCCCTCCTCAAGTAACTGTGAATTGAAAGCATGAAATGCTTCCTGTTTGTGACAGTAATTCCTAACCACTGAACAGCCCTGTCCCCACACTGGATACTGCTTGGGAAATAAGCCTGTGGGGAAGTAGCCTCCAGGAATCACTCAGTCAAGAGAAAAATTACTTTGAACAAGCTAAGCCACCTACCACGCTCTACACAAAAATGTGTCTTTAGTGAGCTGCTGTCTGTGTGTGACAGTACATGGCACAGTCTGATATTATATACTTTATTGCATATTTATATTGCCCACCCCAGTAAAACTATATACAACAATTAGCAAGCACAAAGAACCAATAAGGAAAGTGTGCAACATGTAACATAAGCATGTGGTACACAGAAAACAAACAGTGCCAACATCTCTCTCACACACACATTCCTTAAGTACACTCACTGACATTATCAGATAAAAACAGAACTAAAGAGAGGAGACTTCAATTTGTTGTGAGGCTTCACAAAGACACAACGGTATCAGGTAAGCTGCAGAGCTTCCTGACTATGTTCAGGACTTAAATAAGGGTCGGGCACATCCCCCTTCCTCTGCTAAAAGCAGAAGGCCAACTCCCAGCTTGAGTAAGCAGTGATCTCCCCAGCCCTGCCCCCTCCCCCACATGCCCCGGCCTCCCTTTCCTTCTGGACTGGTGCAATGAGAGTACTCTCTCCTGTTGCAGGCTACTTTAACCTCGGGCTACACCAAACACAACTGCAGACAATGAGGAAACACTGCCATTGCCAATGTTGTCCTGATGTTATCTCAAACCACAGGGATACAAAAGGAAACCAAGGTGGATTCATAAAATGAATTACATTAAACATTTTCTACTTAAAGGTATAAGACAGCTGCCATTAATGAAGCTACCAAAAGATTAATGCTAATTCCAGTCCATCCCCCAAGCCTCATAGTTGTAGGTATAGTTACATACATCTACATAACACATTTTAAAAAAATAACATGGAAATAATGAAACACCTGCTAACAACGTTATCACTTTGTTCACGTGCTGAACCCCCCTCCCACATCCAGAACCAAGATATTCTCTGACTAAATTATAAACATTTCTGGGTAGGGCCTCTTTTCACGGTGAAAGGGCAGGCACCATTTGAGTGCTATATGACTGGTTGTAGCACACCCACAAGCCTGCATAACAAATGCTTTCTTCTGGAAAAAGATGGGGTCAGCCTGCTTGCTCCCAACATTTAGTCACCATCAGGAAGTTAAATGCCATTCAGCAATCATGCATTTTATAAACATTTTTTCTATATTGGTTGTTAGTTAATAAACGAGACCATTAGCCTTAACTTGCAAGATCCGTCAGACCTGATCATGTCCACTTAGGAAAATGTTATTGGTGACTCTATACCCATGTTTTGTTTGTTTTTAAGGACACACTGTCACCTAAATTTTATGTTTTTACAGCATCATATGCTTCAATGCTATTTGCATCTAATTCTTATAGGTGGGAACACATTCTATAGGAAATTTTCAAGGTTCTTCCAGTTTATAAACTCTGCCCCACTCAAAAAAACACCTGTTACTCTATTATCTTTTCTTTCTTTCGAATAGAAATATGTGTATTGTTAAGTGGAATGTAAAAATATGTCTTCAGCACTTTCATAGCAAGTCAGCCAATGGAAAGAGCAGAAATTCCATCTCCAGATCTGTGAATACTTCAGAAACCACCATCACAGACACAAGTAAATTAAATGATCAGGGAAAATGAAGCCATTTTAAACTGTTGGGTTAATGGGTCTAATTCTCCTCTCATTTATACTTGTGTAAATCAGCTCTAACTCCAAAAAAGTCAATGAGTTACATCAAAATAAAACTGATATAAGTGAGAAAACAATCAAGCATTATTTTTCTCCATTAACAGTGATTTTTAGCTTGAGTATTTCTGAAAGAATCTTCAGCCACTCACATTCCACCTAAGCCCAAAACACTTCTATATGATACCAGTCAGTGACCATTTCATTCCTAAGGAAGGACCTTGTCCTTTGTTAATATCTCACATTCCAAACAGGGGCGGCTCCAGGCACCAGCACACCAAGCGTGTGCCTGGGGCGGCAAGCCGCGGGGGGCGGCCTGCCGGTCGCTGTGGGGGCGGCAGTCAGGGAGCCTTTGGCGGCGCGCCTGCGGGAGGTCCGCCGGTCCCGCAGCTTTGGTGGCAATTCGGCGGCGGGTATGCCGAAGCCGCGGGACCGGCGGACCTCCCGCAGGCATGCCGCTGAATCCGCGTTACCAGCCGGACCTCCCACAGGCGCGCCACCGAAAGCCACCTGACTGCCATGCTTGGGGCGGCAAAATACATAGAGCTGCCCCTGATTCTAAATATGAAAATTAGGACACATGTGGTCTTAACTGGCTAGTCTGAATTTTTATAACAGTCAACAAGTTTCAAATGCAAAAAATGGAAAGCCTCTAGGAAAGGGCCATTTAAAAAAGTAAGCTCTTTCTAACATTGCATTGGTTAATAATTAGTTGTAAAAATATTCTATTGGTTATGGCCAGAACGAGGGGATTTTCAAATGTATATAAGAAATAATAATGCTTCACATTCATAATCTAAGTGATAAGATGTTCTGGTGATGGGGGCCATATGAACCCATTAGATAGTGATCCTTATTCTCCTTTGTAAATCTAACTCCATTTTACAGATGGTGAAAGTGAGAACTCAGAGAGGTGAAGTGACATGCTCAAGGTGACACAGCAGGATAGTGACAGGATTAGAACTCAAGTCTCCTGATTCCCAACACTGTAACTTATCAACTGAACCATATCGATATTGGTAAGGTTACCATTTGCAGTATGCTACTGTTGGTGTCACTAGGCATCACCCTAGGTAACTCGGGGGGTTGGAAGACCACGAGAGTCGATGAAGCCACCCTGCACTAGGCCAAAGTGAACCAAAGCCCCTCCATGTTAAACTTTACTAACCTCACAGGCCAGCAGCTGGCAAGCGGTAGTGATAAGGGAAACCTACATGCTTCTAGCTGAAGGACAAGATTACTTGCAGAAAGGAACAGTGCGAACAAGCTGCACAGCCAAGGTCGTTTAATGTAACTGCTGCAGATGGAGGAAGGGGGGAGGTAGGGAAGGGAAAAAAAAAGAATAAAAAGGAAAAAACTACTTGTATCAGTGCGCTTGATTTGAGACATGCTGGTCTCCTAGTGCCTATTCAGAGCTCTTGAATAAACTTTGTCTGCTTCTCCACCCTGGTGTGTTCATTGGCACGAAGCACACCGGGCAACGAACCCTGCTGTTGCCCCCCTCGGGCCCTCTGTGCCGGCAACACTACTACTAAGTCTCTGAATATCTGCCTACTCAAATGCAGTTTAAAATCAGCCTTGATCTAGGGTTGCCAGGTGTCCGATTTTTGACCGGAATGCCCAGTCGAAAAGGGACCCTGGCAGCTCCTGGTCGGCACCACTGACCAGGCCGTTAAAAGTCCGGTCGGCGGCACAGCAGAGCTAAGGCAGGCTCCCTGCCTGCCGTGACTCAGTGCGGTTCCCAGAAACAGCGGCATGTCCCCACTCCGCTCCTATGCATAGGGGCAGCCAGGGGGCGCCACACGCTGCCCCCGCCCCAAGCGCTGACTCTGCAGCTCCCATTGGCCAGGAATTACAGCCAATGGGAACTGCGGAGGCTGCGCCTGCGGACAGGGCGGTAGGTGGAGCCTCCTGGCCGCATCTCCGCGTAGGCAGAATGAGCCCTTCATCAATTCTCCCAGCTGCTTGAGGGCTTTTAATGCCAGTATAAGCAAGCTATGGAAGGGTTGTTTCTTACTAGCTGTAAGATGACTGACATCCCTTCCAACCAACAAGACCAGCCATTTCTTTTAAACTTGGGAGGCTGAGCCCCACCCACCCAGAATGTGGTACCTGAGTTGTCAAATGCTGACCCCTGGCTCCAGGCAGTGATCACAGTGAGCCCCATTTTCCTGGTCCACTGGACTTGGCATGTACAGCCCAGATTTATGTCTCTCTCTCTCTCTCTCTCTCGGCTACAAGTGGGTGTCACAGGCAGAAGTTTTAAATGCCTGTGAAATT